TAACAATAAAAGAAATGACATTCCTTCAACAGCAGAGGACAAAAAAGTAATCAGTGGCAGAGTAAAACAATTAGAAAATTAGATGTAATTGTCTACGCACCTTCCTGCATTAGGACAGAATCACTGCCTTCAAGATCCCTCTGCAACACAAAGCAGTGTGCAGTGAAAATATCAGCACAAGCCACAAGTCTGCAGCATTCTAAGCCCAGACAGAATGACTGACCACACAATGTGATTCCAGTTTGAATGTTTTCAGCAACATTTTTTCACGGCAGAGGTTAATGTACACTGACCTATCCCTCTCCAGCTAACTGCTCCTCCTTTGTCTTTTAGTGAAGCAGGAGTACAAGCGCAAGCTATGAGCCATGTCAGATAGAGACTTAATAAGGTTCAGACGGCTCCAAAGGTCATCCAGCTTCTCAAAAGAGCAATAAAACTAATTTTCAGTTAACTGAATGTTGTATTTGAGGCTTGTACCGCTGCATGTCTTCAGTCAGGAATTAATAGGCAGCACCAAACCAAAATCCAGGTCTAACTGGGCAGTCTGCGTACTTTAAGCGATCTTTTACTGACATCTGCTGGTGAAATCAGTTATTACTGCACTAAAGTGTAATAATAATTAAAAGATTGACTACAATGTTTTCTCATCAAGTTTTCTCTCGATGATTTTAGTAATTAATTGATAAAGTCAACCAGTAACGATGCAGAAGAGATCACATCAGCAAACTGTCTTGACTGCTCTTTGCTCAAAGTTGTTAAGGATTTTAAATGATATCATATGTGTTTCATAACTCAGCACAATAACTGAGAGGTGGCTGGACCACAGAATAATACAATGATCTATGAGCATTGTGGTTAGACAGATATTCAACTTTATGCATTATAGAAACATTTTTTTAAAATTAGTATCAGTTTGTAATCTATTATCACACCGAACATTTTTATTTCATTCACATTTTCAATCAATTATAACACCAAACTGTGCACAGTGAGTCCGGTGTCCGGCTGGTGTTTCTTCTCCTCCAGTCGGGCATCTCCCTGAAAAGAGCAGAAAAACAACTGCTCCCTACTACTGCAGTTGTTACAGACATGCTTCCTCTAGGTTGGTGTCAACCTTAACCCGACACCTTGAAGTTTCTGTGCCTTGCTGCGCTATCGCCAGTGCAGGAACGCCATCCTCCCATAACCCCAACACATTCCTAAGGCAGCCTCTCCTTGCTTATGCTCTATGTTAGTGTCAGTGTGAACCAGTCTACCTTCAGCACCCTCCTTCACATCATGGAGTTAAATACTTGCAACTAATAAGGAGTGTATCAACTCTATTATGAACATACACTGCAAGTAATGTTAAAAAGAAACTTTATTAAAATGCATTTGTAACAGGTTTCTTCACGACAATGCTGTCCTGCAATCCCAGGATTTATGGACTAGTAGAGGCAGCACATTTGGTTTTTACTGGCAGTCCAGGGATGACCTCTGCTCTTCTCTGCATCTGGCTGATAGACGAACAACAGCACAACCAAGACCAGTTGTAGCAACAGATCTTTCTGCAGGCAAAGTTATAACATACCAGGAGCTGAAGTGTAACCCAGTGTTAAGAACAATGAAAAGTGTACACTGGAGCCACTGTCTGTGTTTTTTTTAGGAGATCTTTCACATTTGTGGACGGGATTAATCTTCAAGAAACAAGAAGTCAACCAGTTATCTTTTTCAAGCACTCAGGACTAGGGCTGGGCCATATCACACCGTTCACGGTAATACCGGTATAATGTTGGGCAACGATAAAAAAAAATGAAATATTGCGATAGAATATGGGTAAAACGCTCA